AAAATACCTGTGATGTCTACCCCTATGTAAGATTTTAATCTTTTTTTCCTGGCTAGTTAACATTTTTGCCAAGAGCTTATCTTAGCTGACTCAAGGAAATGCTGTTCTCTAGACTCAAGCCATCAAATTCCTTAAATAAGGGATAATGAAGCATAGCATAAGGGACATGATTTTTTTATGAAGCAGTTCCTTCCTCCTAGAACATAACCAAGTTGAAATGTTAATTGCTACCTTACCTGAGACCTTCAAAATGGCCTACTGCTTCCCTGTTAACATTCTGGCCACCTCCTGCTGGGTTAGAAAAAGCCTCAAAGACCTGGTACAGTTAACTGGCCTGAGAAAATTTTGAAATAAAAAGTTGTATACACTGATTTTGAAAAATATTCACAATTGTGCAAATCTTTCAGATGACGGAGGAGAACCTTCTAGAAGCAGAATGTGACATTTTAGTTCCTGCAGCCAATGAAAAACAAATCACCCTTAAGAATGCCCACAAAATCAAAGCAAAGGTACTCTCCTATTAGTAGTATTTAATTTACGTATGATGCACGATCCTCGCAGTAGAAAGCGCTATTTATGTAATAGCGAAAATCAGACCTGAAAAAAATCAGGCCTGTATGGGATTCGAACCACTGACCTCTGCGATACTAGTGCAGCGCTCTACCAATTGAGCTAACAAGCCAACAGGGAGCAGGCCGTTAAGTTGATTCTTAATAAACCCGTGATGATAAATCAGATACAATGAATATATGAACTTCATTGAGCTTGTTAGCCCAATTGGTAGAGCGCTGCACTAGTATCGCAGAGGTCAGTGGTTCGAATCCCGTACAGGTCTGATTTTTTTCAGGTCTGATTTTCGCTATTACATAAATAGCGCTTTCTACTGCGAGGATCGTGCATCATACGTATCTACAACCGCAGTTCAAAATATATGAACTTCTTATATTCATTGTATCAGTATTTAATTTACTTGGCTAGTATATAATTTTTGGGCTGTTGTGTGGTTATCAGATTTTCAAGCTTGGATGCTCACTGGTGATAAAAGTAATCGTGGTGTGCAGGAGGATGCAAATATAATTATTATAATCCCTCAGGGTTCATGGACAGTATGGTGATATAAGTTTTCAGTAAACCCTTCAACTCCCATGAGTGACAATGACGCATTTACTCCTTAAAATATTAATACCATTTTATGAAGACAAGGGATGAGAATAAAGAAACAAATTTGGGGATTGTTAGGTGATTCAATGCCAAATTCCTCAAACTAACATTATCAAAATTGTATGGTGGACAGTTAGGAGAATTATTAATGAGGTAGATCTCGGGAGTGAATTGGGTTTATAATTGTCTTTACACGGTGACTACATGAATACCATAGCCTCAACTGGATTTTGTCCCTCTTGATCCAGTGTCTTCCAAGCTTACTGCTAGACCACTTTATTTCTCTTTACAGTTGTTAGATACATCCCTTATAACTTACACTATCTCAATCTTCTGAATAGTTCATTTGAAAACTTTGTCTTTACACGAATAGTAGAAGGCAGAGAACATTTGGCTATGTTTTATTTTCTTGTTTATCTACTTTGTATTTTCAGGTCATTGCTGAGGGAGCAAATGGACCGACCACGCCTGAGGCAGAGAAAGTTCTGATTGAAAATAAGAAACTCGTTATTCCAGTAAGTTTACGACAAAATAGTAGCACAATCTGAAGTAAACTTTGATTTGAACGTCCTGTATTTGTTTAATATTGTAATTACTTTTTTGCTCTAGAGGCATGGTTTGAACTTGGATGTTTTGTATTGTGCCGTTTAGGACTTATACTTAAATGCGGGTGGTGTGACAGTCTCCTATTTTGAGTGGCTGAAGAACATCAATCATGTCAGTTTTGGACGTTTGACTTGGAAATACGAGAAGGAAGCAAATTTTCATCTTTTAGGTGAGCTTGTCTTTTCACTTTAGAATATATTTAATGATGGATCTTTATCATTCATCAAATTTATTTACAGGTAAACAGTTGTAAGAGTATCAATTGATTTAACATTGTCTTCGTTAAATAAAATAGTAAAAGATCACTGAGAGCATGAATTGGAGTCTCCTTTCAATCTCGAATTCCCATCATGAGTAATCTTCTCCTTTTGAAGTGCATAAGTTTTTTTTCTCCTTTACTTCATAAGCTACCAGCGATAGCTTCCTTTCATAGCCATTTAAACACTTTTGGCGACGTCTTTGAAAAGCTAAAAGGGATCAAAGGTTTTAAATATCCTCTCATATACAAATGGATTGTGCAAGTGCTGTTATTTCATAATTTCTCAGTGTTTCTGCATGTTTTTCTCGACAGGCAGCGTCCAAGAAAGCTTGCAAAATCATTTCAAGCAACCCATTCCTATAAATCCATCGGCTGAGTTCCTGCAAAAGATCGCTGTGAGCACTGCTTTTTATTTTGAGTCTTTTTTAATACGCACCACAGGGGTGGGTCTAGGGAATGGGTGCAGAGGGTGCGCAACTTCCCCTTCCCCCCTTCCCCTCATTTGATGACCTGCGGCTTTTTTATGTCACTAGTATCCTGCAAAAAATCTTTGTTGACGTCTCCTGATTTGTCCTTGGTGGTGCAACCCCTTCTTAGAAAAATCGTCTACATCCAACCAGCATACTCGATTGAGCGGTACGACTTTAAACTGAGACCTTAGATTTGCACTTGTTTTTCCAGAAGGATTTCTTCGCTCCCGAAAATGTAGTGTAGTCTTCTAATTGTCCTTTATAGGGAGGGAGCTTTTACTCCCTTTTTTTCATTATATTGGAGAAAAAAAGTTTGCAATTTTTTATTACCCCCTAGGGCGCTAATGAAAAGGACATCGTTCATTCTGGATTGGAATTCACCATGGAACGATCAGCTAAGGTACGTCTTCTCCGTCACTCACTCGAAGTTTTTTCACGAAGTCATGAACTCGGTTGCTGGGCTGTGAAACGAAGGCCCACGTTAAATATTTGGAAAAGTGCGTCGAGTATGTCACATCGAGACTTGTTGGTAACGTTTCTGGGAAAAACAAATAAGTAGAAAACCAAGTCCACTTTTGGTCCGGTTCGACATTTTGTTGTTCTTCTACAAATTTCTACCTTGAATATGTATTTTTTTTAAATTCTTTTTTTTTTTTTTTGGCATTGTGAGCATTTGTGAGGTATCCTTGCAGTTGCTTTTCATGGGAAAGGAGGTTTTCCTCCCAATTGCCCCGGCTGGTATCCAAACAGAATCTGGTGTGACCTCTAGTGAATGAGAAAAAAGACTGTCAGCAAAAGAAAGAAATAGCAGGAAAGCGGTTGTCCGTAAGAGTCATGGACTTTGTTATTAGGATAGTTATGGTTTGGAATCCTCCTCGCATATTTTTTTTCTGCCTTTGATTGGTAAAAAAAGCGAATTTAACAGTGATTTCCTTTTCTTGTCAGCAAATCATGCACTGTGCTAGTGAGTATGAGCTGGGTCTAGACATAAGGACGGCTGCTTATATCGTGTCCATGGAAAAAGTCTACAACACATACACTGTGGCTGGTTTCACGTTTACGTAATCTTCCAGTGACAATATGACCAATGATGAATTCTGAGATAATTTTTCATTAGGCTGAATTGTACGATAGGTATTATAGCAGCGCTTACTCCAGCGGTCATGTGCTGACGATGATAGTGTGGTAGTGTAACCTAGTTATAATAACGTTCATTGTGTCGCTTTTTTTTTTTTTTTGAAAACTGCTCTACGAACTCGTATTTATAATTGAATTTCCCATAGGCAGTGAAATGAAAAAGGTGCGGAATCCTTACATCAATAAATAGCTGAAAGCTCTTTTCCTTGGTTGTACATTCAAACCTGTTTTAAGCGGCACCAATTTGAGCGGTCACCCTGTATTAGCGGTCAGTTGTTAAAGTCCCGACGTTGTTTCCTTTTAATCACCATAATTTTACCTCTATTAAGCGGTCGCGGTTAACTATTACTTAGTCCCAGTGGCCTGTTTTTTATTCCCTCCACCTGTATTGAACGGTCACTGAAAGTGGGACCACTCGAATAAAACTAAGAATACTTTTTCAAGTAATTCGTGACCCATGTTTCTCTCCCAAAATGAGAGTAAGTAGTATTTTCGAGCGATATTCTATACAGTAGGTGGTCAATTATGGCATAAAGTGGCTTTTTTTATGGTTTTTTTTTAAGACCCCTCATCCTTGGAACCTGTACTAAGCAGTCACTCCGCCATTTACTGTGGGTGACCGCTTAATACGACTATTCTTTATCAGTGGCGGATTCAGGAGGAGGGTCCGGGGCGTCCGGACCCCCCTATCAGACCTGACGCTTACAACTTTGAAACAGAAATTCTTACATCGACAGGGTCGTATATCACTTTTTAACTGGTTGATCTTTTTAATGAATCCAAGTAAACGGTAAGCGGCCAAGGAATTTTAACGTGCAACCGCGACTGGTGGGATGGGGTGTGGGGGAGAAGCAATTGAGTCCAACAGTCCTTTCTGAACCAAAGTTTGGACCCCCCCCCCCAATCAAAAATTACTGGATCCGCCCCTGATAATGTAAGTGCTTTGAGCTACCTAAGGTATTCTCTCCCACTTGTTAATTCAGTTGTTCTACTTCCCTGGACACGTCGGCATTCACGGTCATAATATACGGCGACAAAAGCTACTTGAGCCATTCATGTCTACCTTTGCTAGTTTATTAGAGGAAATTGCTCGGCGAAAGTAACGAAAATCGATGGGAATGAGACTAGAAAGATTCTGCCTCAGTGCACTTCCTTTCCCAGGCTGAGAAGCCTAAGGGCCTGATTACATGAGCCGGGCTGGCCCGGTTGGCCGGGCTGATTTCTTTTGTTTTGGTGTTCGCCAAAGCGTGAAAACAAAAGAAATCAGCGCGGCTAACCGGGCCAGCTCGGCTCATGTAATCAGGCCCTAAGTCGAGTAACAAGTTGCGCAAACTCAGTTTCCTAGAAATTCAATTGCCTGACTCTTACGTAAACGCCTTGTCTCCGCTTTGTCGTTTCGAATGCCTGGAACCGTTAGTAACAAAGTCTTCTTGAAAATAAAGAGAGAAGCGGATCTGGCATTCATTGAAAATGTCCACCACAGAATACAATCATTTGCTCTTTGAAATAAGCGAAAGGATCGACGAACTGAATGCCCTTCAACGTCTTGTTTTTATGTGCCGAGGGAAGCTAGCCTCTGGCAATGAAAACATACACGACGCACTGGCATTGTTTAAAGAATTAGAAGAAAACGATTATCTTGGTGTTGATCGCCTCAAACTAATGAAAGAGCTGTTGAAAAGTGTTAAGGAATGGACTCTGTTTGGAAAAGTAAAAAAGTTGGAGAATAAGCGAAAGGAATACAAAGCCTTGCTTGAGAAGATTATTCGTGCACTCGATGAACTCAATGATCTGGAACGGCTGATCACGATATGCGAAGGAAATATACGCGAAGAGAGTGAAGGCAACATTGATGATGTGCGCTCCTTGTTTGAAGAGCTAGAAAAACACGAAAACCTGGGAATCGACTGCCTCGACGTTGTGAAGGTCATTCTGGCAGAAATGGGAAAGACCGATCTTTTAAGGGAAGTGGAAGAGTTTGAAGAACGAAGAGATCAGGAGGATGAATCCGAAGCAAAGAGAGGTATTTAGTTTTCTGTTTTTTTTCAGTATTTGAACAATGGCAATACTTACAGAAGGTAATTTTGTATCATAGTCGAGTTCTGCGTAAGTGTAATTCTACACTTAAATTGACCTCCACGAAATCTTCAGAAGAGAAGGTTGATTTCGTTTAAGTTGTTGCACGGCTGGTTTGGTCGCCAGTGTAGCTGAGAAACAAACATTCCGGTGGACTGAATTTTATTTTGGTAACTGAGCTTAGTGGTAGGCGTTTTTAATTCAGTGTAGTATTTGTGTTAGCCTTAGTTTGTGAAGGTGGGAAGTTAGCGCTGAGTGCGTCTTAATCTACTCGGATAGAAATCAAGGAATGGTAAACATCACCCTTCAAGCGGCTCTTACTTGTGGTGATGGTCAACAAGATTCAACATATGTTCTCTATAGTATACGAAAAGCCCCTTTTAACTATTTTCGTTTCTGTCTTTTACAACCTATGGCTACATCAGCCGAGGCCTAGAGAGGAAATATAATGTTTACGGCTCACTCTACTTCGCTCTTTGGGCACTAGCTAACTGAATTCATGCGATACGAATTGAGAGACCATTTCTTTTGTTGACACATCTGTAACATACAGAAGCCATGTTGTTTATTTCTGACCTTGTGGGCATGCGATACAAATATAAACCGCTGGCCGGTATCGGCCGCATACATTACAACATCTGTTCTTTTATTTGTTTTCATAGACTTGTTTCATCCACCTAGATCTCATATTTGTAAAAATTACTTTCTAACTTTTCAGATATTTTGGATTGAATTGGCAGCAATCGATTGATAGGCTCGTCATGCGTGATATGGGCTTCGCCATTTGCAGCTTCTATTCAGATTTTATGAAAGAAATTGCGATTTCTTTAAATTTGGGACAAATTCATTTATTTGAAACGAATCGAGTAATACTTTAAAAGAAAAACCCAAACCCTAACCCTGATTACTTCCCTAGCCTCGCTTAGAACACCCAAACAAGATTTGATGAGAGGAGCATTACATGACATGCCAAAGAGTGGTTAGGAAGGAGATTAAGATTTAGACAGTAACGCTAACTAAAACTTATTTTCACGCTATACAAGGTTGAATTCACGGACAAAGTAGCCTATCCCAACCTTGACCCTTGATTCGAATAAGAACGGAAGGGAGGCTCAATTGTTACACTTCTCAATGGACAGAGACTGGGCAATAGAACATACTGCTTTATTGCTCCCCATAATCCAAATCTTGGCCCTTCCTGACATTGTAAGGTTCTAAACCTACCAATTATTACAATTATTTTGTGGGACCGCTTTTTTCTATCTAAGTAACATAGCCACAAAGATAATTACTCTAGGTATGTCCTTACAACACCTGAATTCCAAGTCTTTTAGTATAGATATTAGAAAAGTTTGCCCATGCATTCTTAATAGGTGCCTTTCTGACTAGAATGAAATTCTTATGCATATATCTTAACAAGAAAAGTAGACCCTGTACCAGAATGATTTTACTTGTTGTCAACATCTTGATTATTGCTATCACTGTCTTTCCCTTTGAACAAAGTAAAACTTGACTCAAGTGTTCGCAGTTAGTCCTGATTATCCTTTGCCCTCTCCTTCTGTATATTATTTGTATTATTCCTTTTTTCTTTATTATCTCTTTTTTGTATGCTAGCTATTTTATATTTGTAACGGTAGTATACTTAATAAAATAAAATAAGATGAAAGAAATGACTTTATAAAACAGTAAAATGACTGACTAGGCTAATCAAAATTTGCTGCCAGGGTCCTATCTCTTCCCATTTCTTAAATGTCATTGAGATAAGTGAATTAATGGGCTGGCATGTCATCCATTAGTAGGCTGTGACTCTTCTAGAACCTATGAGTTTACTACTTGTGGGTATGATGAATTTTTTCCCTTTGTATATTAACATTCAGTCAAAAGAGGAAGGGGAGAAATTTTACCAAAATAGTGCAACTTTCACTCAAAAAAGTACAATAATTAATATTTTGATGATCCCTCTTTCTAAGGGACCACCTAATTTTATGAGATCCCTCTAAACCTTAAAATTGGTATAAATGCATTCAGAAAAATTGCTGAACTAGTAAGTTACGTGCTACACTAACAGTGTAGGATGAATGCCCAGAAAAGGCGTCAAGTCTCAGACAGCTTTTACGTTGGGCAAGAAGGTTTGAAGTGCACACTTTAGACTTAAACTTGCTGTTTCCTTTATTTAAGAACAAAGAGCTGCTCTTATGTCATCTGTGAGAAGTACGCTATCGGGAGGTGAGCATTTCAAATTTTGTGCTTTTCAGTTTGTTAAAGGTGTCCTTTCTGTCCTTGGGACATAGCATGAAGAGACAATTAGGAAGGAAACTGGTGACTTAAAGTAAAATACCCTCGTTTCTGACGGAAAGCCTGTGCTCCTTACGTCGTTTTTCAAAAGTCAACTTTTTGGAACTAATCACTCGACAAAAGCACAACCTTTCTTATAGCGATGGGTTTTATTGAAAAGAATTAAATGACTAAAATAACTAAATCACTATTCATTATTTTCTACTCATTACTTTCCTGACTTTTCAGTGGTGAACATCAAAACAGTGTTCCAAGTGGTTGCAGGGGGCCTTACAGTCGTTTCAGCAATGGAGGTGTTGAGTCGTTGGTCCTCATTTGATCAACTGGTCGCTGCCGTACAAACCTGTGTTCTTCCAGCTGGTACAAGGCTGGTTCAAATCAGTGATGGCTGTGTGTGCCTCACAGTTCAAGCTGAAAGTTTATCAGCTCTTAAAAGTTTGTGGAAGTTGTATCAGGATGGAACCCTTCAAAAACATCTACACGATTTCTTTGTCACTGACGAGGTAAGAGAACTTGCTGATGGAGAGGATGTGGAGGTGAACGTCACTATTGAGGAAGAGGAATATCAGAAAGCCTGTCTCGACCTCGTGCAAGGGGCTCTAGGTAACTCAGCGCTGCTGTCTGACCTAATTTTAGCGATTTTCTGAGCCCTTATTTTTATGCAGATCGTGTTATGTGTTCGTTGATGCAGATTTTTTCTGCTTTGAGGGTAAACAACTAATAAGAGAGAATAAAACTAAGGGCATACTTGTCTATCGCATATTACAGTGGAACCTCGATTTAACGAAGTGCCAAGGGATTGGGGAAAGTAGTTCGTTATATAGAGGTTCTGTGGCATATATTTTACTGTAACTTTAGCCGCGCTGAAACTGAAGTATCGTTCGTTATACCGAGGACTTCGTTATGTAGAGGTTCGTTAAATCAAAGTTCCGCTGTAATGTAATTGTTGCTGTTCCTAATGTAGAATACGCACCCTACCGGACAAAAGGAACTCCCTTTTTTGGGTTTCCAAGTTTCGTGGGGTTTTCTTGTTAGCCGTCTCCTCTTCTAATCTTTTTCTTAATGTCTCCCGTAATTATTGCGCGGACATGATTGTGCAGAAATGTCTCTCTCTGATACGATTGCTACGGAGAACAGAAGAGTGCTTAGCAAGTAAATTTTAACTTTTGTCCGACCTATCTTATGTGTGATGGATGGAAAAATACAAGTACTGAACTAAGACAAGTAGAAGAAGCAGATTCACTTTCTGTGTGCTCTTATATTTTTCTTAGTGATGTGACTTTTTAACTCAATATTGTAAGCTCGAAATCAGACTCAGACACCATTTCAACAATTTACGTGAGCTTTTGTTTTTCCTACCACTTGCTTCTAGGGTGTTTTGAAGAGCAAATCTATAGAGTTGATAATGTCAGTTTTATAGTTGCCATTATTGTTATTTTACTACTTTTAGGAGGTGCAACGATTGACAATGTTGAAAAAGGAAGGCGAAACTCTGATTCAGCTGTGTATTTCAACGCCAAAGAATTGCCACTGTCGAGAATTCAGTGTCTCGAAACGGAAGTGAAATATCTCCATAAAAGAATTATACTTCTGGAAGGAAAAAAAGATAATATGGGATCGTACGCTTTCGAGGAAAAGGAAATTGCACCTTTAGGTCCACCCGATGAGAATTTTGGTGAGAACTCTTTTTGAAATTCAACCTAAGTGTGGTTTGTTGGTCGTTTGTCTCGTTTTTTTTTTTTTTTTTTTTTTTTTTTGTTTTCATGAAACACTATCCTCGACATTTTGTTTTGATTGTTCTGTTTTTGCCTAGTTGGATTTAACTCATAAACCTGAACATATTCAGCCTCTAAATGAATTTAAGAGAAATTTTTGGGTTTAAAAGAATTTCTCAGGGAAGTAATAACAAGATTCTCCAGCCTGTTATTATTATTGTTATTGTTATCACTGCTCTAACTGTGAGGTCATCTGTCGTAGATTACAAATCATGGGACGCCACGAAGATGGAGAAAGACACTACAAAGGTGAAAGGATCAGAAGGACGCCATAGTGAACTAACTATTAAATCAATGGACACAGAAAAAATGGATATGGTACAGAGGTATTTGGAGAATGTGCCAGAGAAGTGCAGTGTGATTACCGATGCAAGTGACAGCGGTTTGGGAACACGCACTGCTGTGTCTGAAGAGGAAACAGAAGACGGGAGAGGTAAAACTGATTTATTCTTCGTTTCTGTTGTTATTTTTAATGAAACAATGTCGGTAAATGGGTAAAGTAAATGGGCATTGAATCGCAATGCATTAGAAAATTTCGCGCTCTGATTTGGTTTTAAAGAAGAGGAGAATAGTTTGTTTATTTGTTGCCATGAAGCGACACTCTTGGTCTTTGCCGGTAGAGAAGTCCAACCGTATTGAAATGTTTCTTATCGTTCTTTTTTCTTTCAACCGTATTCAGATCCCAAAAGACTTTGCCTTAGAGATCTGAGGAAAGAATCAATTAACGAACTGGATAGGAGACTTGGTGTTGATAGAGTTGGGTCAGAAAGGGTTTTTCAGTTTTTCGGTCTTAAATCGGGCTCCAAGTCTTACAGGTATCGTTGTGTTTCTCGGATTGCACAAAGCTTTCCTGACACTCCTGTTGACCTAATAAGGCAATGTTTCGAGGCTCTGCAAATGTACGATCTTGTTGATCTTCTGGAAAAGGCGGTGAAACCAATTTCACTTCATCCTGTCCTTTCCCCAGAAGAACTACAGACTTTACGGACTGATAATCTTCCCACAAAGTGTCACAACAATGTGGTGGTATTGGTAGTGAATGACAGTACGGACAACGTCCTCAACCAAAAGATTGAGGCATTCTTTAAAGAATTGAATTCGCAGAACGTTGTCACAGTGATTGAATCTTCTTCCTCAAAAGAAAACCGCAAGGCACTGAGTGATTTGAAAATGAAGCGCATGCAGAAGGAAAGACTTGTTTTAGAGGCAAAGGAGTTGATATCGCCTTCTAATTATATCAGAAGAAAACAAATGCAGTGGAAAGAACCTTTTCACAGCAGTCGTACTGGGAATTTTTTTCGTAAAATCGAGAATGACGTCGAAGAACTTAGCAAGCAGATTGAAATGGACAAACCGCTTATGGAGAAACTACTGAGAGAGACTGAGAAGGCCAAGACGATCACAACATCTGCTATGGACAACTGGATTCAGAATCAAGGTTGGTTTTAAAATACTGTTTAAGCAGGAAAAGGTATCAGCTGTTAAAAATTGTTCATTATAACAAGGTTTGAAACACAAAAGAAAATACGGCGAGGCTCACACATCCGGGAGTAATTTGAAAATTTCTGGTTAACAACAGCTAAGTAATTGACTCACTGAATAATCATAATGACGTGAAATGACATTTCGTTTCTATTTTGCTAAATTAAAACAGGTCACACACCTGAACCAAAAGAACTGCGTATATTGAATTTTAATAGGCATTGATTTAATTCTACAGCGTGATAAGTGTATCTTTATTTCTCACTGGCTCAGTTAACAGTCCTTGTCCAGGACAATGAATGAAAGGTAATGCAGTGAAAAATTAATAAGTGACACAAATTCGTAGTCAAGCTTTTCGGCTTCATGTTGTCAGCAATTGCTTGCTTTTCTTAGTCTATGTTCTTTTTATTTACATTTTGTTTTTTTTTCGTTCTACAGAGAAATTCACCGCGATTGTTTTAGTGTTCGTCATCGATGAAAGGAAATCAATTTACAATTATGATGATCTAGCAGAATGCGTGGCGTCCAAGTTAACATCGCTTCCGCATCACACGAAAGTGGTGGTTGGTGCTCCTAGGAGCATAATCATTGATAAGGTTCCTGAGATTCTTTCTGTTGGTTCTCCAGGCATGCCACTTAAATCTTCGATCTATAATTCGATGATCGAGATTTTCTTCAAACGATACCATCAATTGGATCTCATTTCAATGATGAGAGAATTAAAAAGAACTTGTCCAGAACTAAATCCAGAGCGACGTATGGATGTTATTCGAAGCAATCTTTCTACTCTTCCAAGTTTTGAGAAAAGAAAAGCACAGGAGCTCGAGCAAAGCTAATCATATGTGAATTAAACGGAACACTATTTGAATAAGAAATAATCATCTACAACTAAGAAGGTACAATAAGGGACCGGTCATCCGGTCATTAGGTATCGCCTAGGGTGGGGGATAGACGATTTTGGTTGTGTCACGATGATCCTGATCCCCCGAAGGCTTTGTAATGTTATTATGATCCCCTTTTCATTGGCAGTCAATAAGCAGTCAGTTTTGCATGGTCCCCTTTACACTCTGTTGGTAACGACTGATCCCCCTCCGTTACCCTCCTGGAAACCTAAAATCCCCCAAAAACCTTACACCCCCTTCCCAGGGGATGGTTCCGGTCTCCAACTGACTGTTAAGCTCCTTCCTAAAGTTGTATTTTCCTTGTTTTCAAGTACCGAGGAAACTGTGACTTTAGATTAATCTTATCTTTGAAATATTTATTTTTTCTTGAATTAGGGAGGAAATGCTATTTACATTCAGAGATGTTCATCATGCTATTGCGAAAAAATTTATTTGCAAAAGCACGACAAATAAAACCTGGGTAGAGAATATACCTGAATCTTCATTCTAGGGAATATTCTCGAAATTTTTTTTTCATAATTATCGCCTAGTTGATATGAATTAATGTTGACTCTTTCCTAGAGCTGAGTAGTAGAGCGGCGGAGGTATCAAAACGCAAAAACTCGAAGAACTCAAGCATGAGCGTACGCAAGCTAGTTTTCTCTGTACTGGCATTTACGTCTTTCTTCCGCTTCGGCGCTTTATTCGCTGTGTTGCCTCTCTAAGCAAAGAAGAGAGAGAAAAACCTCTAGTGTCTTAAGAGGTTGTCTTTTATTAGAAAAACAATTGTCGATAGCTTTTTAGGGTAGGTACAGAATTCATTTAGCAGACATTTATCACACGATGTAACCGTGCATCCAAAGTTGATCATTACAAACAAACAATAGTTGAGATAAATATAAGATAGCAACAGATTATGATGCAAAATTCTGCTTTGGAGACTAGTTTAGATGTGTTAATTGGAACTTTGTAACAGCAAGGCAACAATGTTTTGTAGAAAATGACTTAGTGCTTCAGAGTTTTGTATTTATGTTTTGTATGAATTGACATTTGCGAAAAAGGCGTTAATTCCTTTAGATAGATTTCAAAGCGTATTTTCTTCTAGTCTTCTAATCACGAATATTGCGTTTGCGAGAGAGTAATCCACGAACTTCGAGTTGAATTTGAGAGTCCACAAAAGCTTTAAAAGCAAAATGAGGACAGTTTTAAACAAACTCAATTCAACTGAGATATCGTAATGATTTTCGTGAGATTTGAGCATTCCACCTTTCCTTCATTTCCCCTCCTTGTCACGCTGTCGTCATTTTTTCCCAGCGTGCTCTGTTATTGCATACATTCTTTCTTTCGCTACTTATTACCACTAAATAAATGGCGTGATTCAACAAGGGTATCCTTAACACTGCATCACTCTTTCTGCTACTTTAAAATTCACAGTTGTCGTGGACCACTTTCATAAATGACTGCCGAATTAATATTCTTTTGTTTAAATTTAAATGAGCCTTTCTGGCCTCGTTGTCCAGTACACAATTCAATAGAATACATTATCTCAAGCGAGGTCAGAAAGGCTAATTTAAATTTAAACAAAAAGAATATTAATCCGGCAGCCGTTTATGAAAGTGGTCAATTTCGTAAGGAAATTTTTTAGCGCTCTCAATCCACAAATATCTTTTGCGGCAGGCTTAACCTGGGTTTCAAAGTTCTAAATTATATCTCAGAGTAACGTAGAAAAGGAACATAATGCGAAATATATATGAATGAAATATATACATTGGACCTTCTAAATCCTATCGCGACATTGGGTTACAGGAGCATTACCAGAAACAATAGTAGACCTCTGAAGTAACTAAACCTCTTTCCTCAATGAATTTGCGCATGGGAGGCTGGGAACGAAAATAGGTTTATATGAATTGATATTGACTCTTCCCTAGAGCTGAGCGGTAGAGCTGCAGAGGTATCATGACGCGAAACTCGAATGAACCCGAGCATGCGCGCACGCAAGATAGTTTTTTCTCTATTGGTATTTACATATTGCGTCTCCGATGCTTTGTTCGCTGCGTTGCCTCTTCGAGCAAAGACAAAAGAGGAAAACCTCTAGTATCTATAGAGATTGCCTCTTATGGGTAAAATATTGATCAGTAGCTATTTAGGTCGTGAGGTAGATGGGTAGGTACTGAATTTATATAGCCGACATATATTACACGATGTTACCGTGCATCCAAAGTTGATCTACACAGACAAACAACAGTTCAGATAAATATAGCAATACTAGGTAGGAACAGATTTTGATTCAAAATTTAGCTTTGGAGATTAGTTTAGATGTGCGAACTGGAAGCAAAAATGATGACAACTCTTTGCAAGCTTAAATGACTTGAGTTGAAGTATCGTAATGATTTCCACGAGATTTCTGCATTCATCCTTCCTTCTCCTCCCCTCATAGTCTCGCTCTCTTTATTGTTTCCCATCGCTCTTTGTTATATAACGTATTTTTTGTCCTTTCGTTACTCTCTGCCACCACCATTGTTAGTGCCCCTCGGTTTCTAAAAATAAATTATTAAGTCGCTCTTTAGGAACATTTGAGTTCTCGTACTGTGCATGTAAGAGGACTAATCAATTTTATAAATATATTTGATATCAGCTTTGATAGATTTTAACCAATATAGGATATTTGACAGGAACTGTAGGTGGTTAGGACTAAGCCAACTCGGAAAAAAAAAAAGTACGAAGGAAAAGCGAGAAAATTCGGTACTTTTTCATGCGTTTTACAACACTTTGCAATTTGATCAGACTACGTATCACAGCCGACCGAGAGGGATGAAAATTTTTACAGAAGCCATGTAATTTAGGAAACAAGGCGGGACCACAACATCGGCTGAACCCATTTCCCTGTTCTGCGTAATCAGATCTAGAGAACTTACGTCGTCGTTATCTACATCGCTTTCAAAGTCATCGTCAACGTCGCTCTCATTTTCACTCTTTTGGTAATCTTTGTCTGATTCACTGTACCCTCCGGTATCTAATTTTTGCTTCTTTCTCGTCATTTTTCGTCATTTCATCATCTACGAGGTTCAAAGTATTAATGGTTATTACAGGCTTGTCAACAAACATTCCACTAGAGGAGGAAATCAATACTGTTTACTAAATAAATGGAATAATTCAGCAATAACATCCTTACCACTGCAGCATTCTTTCTGCTACTTTAAAATTTATGGCGGTTATAACATTTAAAGAAACATTTTTTAGCGCTTCGTAATCCCTAAATACCTTTTGTGCAGGCTTGATCTGAGTTTCAAAGTTCCAAACCTCTTTCTTTGATGAATTTGTCCATGGGAGGCTAGGAGCGAAAATGGGTTTATACAGTGCGCAAGTGCTGTTTTCTAAGAAATACTGACGTGCGTGACTAGTTGTATATGCTGGGGCAGAGCAGTTCCAGTATTGAAGATCAGATAAAATTTGTTCCAGCCAGACATGATGATTTAGTAAATTTAACCCAAAAAGTGAAAACAGAGGAGGATGTTGAAGTAGAAGATGAGATGAGATTCATGAATGGAGACAACCCTGCAGCAAACTTTGAATGTGGAAATCAGCATGGAGGGCATTATGGTTGCCCAGGTTGTGATGGGCATTTAAGCATGTGCCATGATCTAGATTACATGGCCCAAAGAAAGTACAGAACATTGACCGAACGGCAACAGCTGGTGTTAGCGGGAAGGAAAGGAAAAGAGGCAAAACAACTCCTGAACCCATTTAAAGATCTCAAGGTCAACGAGCTACGAGCTGAAATTGAAGCAAGAGGACTTGGAGATTCAGACAAAACGAAACCACAACTTGCAAAAATTTTAAATGAAGAACTTGGAGGGGCAACAAGAATTCCAGCACTGTTGTTTGGGGATGAGAGTGTTTCTGTGGAAAGTCTCAACCTCCAGTCCTATGAGGTACTGTGTTTTGAAGCTCTTCACTGCTCCATGAATCACATTAAAAACATTCTGGAAGAAATCCCACATCACATTTCTGACATCGATACACTGATAAAACTTAAAGAAATACTGGCTGTCCAACTTAACAAAGAGAAAAAACGAGGAGTAGATTATCGCAAGACACTAATCTACTTAACTATAGCCCTTTACCAGACAACAACCCATGATGTAAGAGCTTTGCTGGCCACCCTGTGCGAAATGGTGGAAATTTTTTATGCCCAGGACAGAAAGAGGTCACCAAAGTTGATATTACGGTTGCATAACCTGTGTTGGAGGCATGCAATTTTGTGCCGAAAAGTGATGACGCCAACTAGAGCCTTAACAAGCAGAAAGCTCTTTGGCATATACTTCCATGCATGTGTATCTCATTCCGCCTTTCTTCTTCGTCTTGCTTCACACCGTTCAACTAATGCAGAAATGTTTGAGAGGTTGTTTGAGGAGCTGACTGACATCACCAGGAAGACCTGGAACAACCGAGTTGAAAGCTTAGTGAGCAATGCAGTTCTGCATATGCAAGCAGAGAAGACTTCAGGAGGAAACACAGCTGTGACCTGCATCATCAGGCAAGAAAAGGAAATCAGCAACATCAGCAAAGCCCTACCAAAGCTGGGAAACACAGTTTTACCCAAAGATGTCATCAACACACATGCTAGGCACTGGGAGGCTCACCTTCAGTCTATTGCTGACTTCCTCGTACCGGGAGAAGGAGTTTGGTGGAGAGAAATTGAGGATGAAGACTGTATTGAGTTCTTTGATGGTCCTGAGGAAATTGAATTCAGGGAGCAAGGACCTTCCCTTCACCACTTTCGCTCCTCCAATATCAGAATGGAGAAAATTTTCCTTCAACACTGCTGGGAAGAATGCATTCAAAGCAGAATCAAAATCCCAGCTACCAGAATTCCCAATGAAGAAAACCATAATGGAGAAGAATGCATGCAACAGAATCTGCCAGTTCAAGATCAGTCATTTGAGAGTGATGGTGAATGTGAAGAAGAAGCTGAAGNGGCCTTATTGAGGATGTTCGCTCGTTGTTTAAGGTACTAGAAAACCAGAATATTCTAGGTCTTGATCGTCTGGATATTTTGAAGGAGATCCTCACCGAAACGGAGAAAAAGGATCTACTAAAGGACGTGGAAGAGTTTGAAGAGCGAAGGAATATGGAAGATGAGTTTGAGAGGAAGAAAGGTATTTGTTTTGTCATTGTTGCCGGCTGTACTGGAGTTTGTAGGGTTTCGGCACTTGTTATGTAAGCTGATGGAAGTGGATAAGTTATTGGCTAGGCGCCCATTTCCTCATGCACATTATACAGGTACTTTGCAAATACAGAGTGCAAGGCTATTAAATTGTTCCGCTGTTACGACGTCACGACGTCCAGTTTGAATCAAGGGTTGAGTTTGAGATCTGTAGGGTTTTTAATTCCGTTCATTTAGTGCTTTGAAAGCCTCGATCGGTAGTTGTCCTAAACACATCAAGTTTCTCAAACTATAGTTCCGTTCTCTGAGCCTAGTGTAAACAAAGCGTCAGATCCATGGTTTGTAAAGGTGTTTCAAGGTCGCTGGCACTCCGTAATCGACAATATGTGATGGTCCGGATTAGCTGGGTTACTTCGATTGTTCAAATTGACCAAAAGTGTAGTGCTGCTGGTCATTTAGAATGTTGAAAACTATGAATGGCCGCAGGTCATTTAGTTACAGCGAAATGAATATGAGTTACTCGAACGAATTTACTATATCCGTAATTTGCAACTTCAGTAATCCATAACCTCAGAAATTTCCTCCATAATTTTGCATTGTTTATCCTGAGGCTTCTTCGGTCCTACAAAAGTAAGATTTCAAATCATTGGTATATTCTGCTAGTGTGGATACCGACGTAAAAGGCAATTTTCAGATGTCATTCGATACAGTTTTTCTTCCCTCCTTAATCCTAGAATTGATCAACGGCTCGTAACCTGTCACGACCTAAAATAATTGTTTTCACATGACTAATATCTCCGTACTTGAGTTAGCCAGAAATAACACTGTACACTCCGCTGTTAAACATTGACTCTTCAACTGAGACAGTGACTCCTTTCCATCACCTGAAAAGAGTTATGGAAAGCAAACCCAGGGACTTTATGATAACTACATGTTATGAATTTTGTTTTGATATCGGCAAACAATTCGGCTCTTATGAATTGATGATTTACTCCCACCAACAGTTACGAAATTCGCTCACTTATGTAACTATGAAATCTGGTTTGCTGACAAGTGTTCGTACAAATTGCACGGGACCAGCGCGTCTAGATGCCAACTTGATCGCAAGAGAGTTTCTTTACACGCCTAGGGAGATTCTGTCTTATTCCACAGTCCTGTGTATTCCATGATCAGCTGACTTTCAGTTTGTTTTGTTCTAGCACAAGCAGCGGCTCTTGCATCATCCGTCAGAAATTCACTTACTGGAGGTAAGGTGCTACAAATAGCTTTCTATATCTTGTAAGATATTTGGTTTTGGGGCTCTTCAACGCGACTTTGATATGGACTACCAACATTTTGCATTCCCGAGTCGATCAGGGGTAGATAGTAAAGCACGTTTTGTATCCTCAAGCTATCTTTCTCTGCCCTTACAACAACTGAACTCATATGTGTAGCGATTAACTCCTAATTAATTGGGGCTCCCTGATGGTCATGGTCCCATAAACGTACGTAGCTAATAACTCATTCTTATTTTGTTTTGTAGTGGTAAATATTAAGACTGTATTCAAGTTGTTTGCTGGTGGGTTAGCAATCGTTTCTGTTACGGAGGTCTTGAGTGGTTGGTCCTCATATGATCAGCTTGTCGCTGCTGTACAGAGCTGTGTGCTTCCAGCTGGTACAAGACTGGTTCAATTCACAGATGGCTGTGTTTGCCTCACAGTTCAAGCTGAAACTTTATCAGCACTTACAGACTTGTGGAAATTATACCGAGATGGAACCCTTCAGAAACGCCTGTACGATTTCTTTGTCACTAATGAGATTAAGAAACTAGCCGAGGGGGAGGATGTTGAAGTAAATGTGACCATCGAGGAAGAAGAATATCAGAAAGCTTGTCTCGAGTTGATGAATGAAGCTCAAGGTATTTCATGTTGCACGGTTGGTTTCTTGCTACTGTCGCCTGCCTTCTTAGGTCAGCTTGAACGATTTTAGCGTTCAGTCGATGGATGAGTGATAGGTCTTGAGAGGCTAGTGCCAGTCGTGATAGACTTCACTGTAGGGAATAAACACATTTATCAAAAGTTAACAAACGGTCAGAGACCTACAACTAATGCTACAGTGTATATCTATGTGCTATGTTGTTTCGTTTTATTTTTCCTATCGTAACCATGGATAGGATTCTTCAAAACCTCTATTTTTTCACACCCCGTTTAACATTCGTCAGGCATACGAATTCACGATCGGAGGGAAAGGAAGTTTAGGGAAGTGAATCATAATATCGAATGCATATCAGACAGAAAATTGCAACTTTTATGCAAGGGGTCGTTCTTGTTAAATGCGTTATTCTTTACCCCGTTCAACAATGCGTGACTAATTTTGTATGAGTTAGATTTGACCCTATGTCAAATCATCTACTTAAGATTTCTTCTTCTTTCGACTTTCCTCAGGGCTGTGGTCTAAAGCTCTTAGGCGACTCAGGAATCTTAGTTTTTTTCATAAAAAGCATGTGCTGGGCACCCTGGATTTCACTGTTTCAGAGCAATGGGCTCCCTTCAATTTTTCTTAGAGCACAGCCTGGCTTCCCTCAATGTTAAATTTTTTCTAATTCCTTAAAATGTTTTTCTTTTAATATAAAATTTGGGAATCTGTGACTAGCTACACGCCATGGACTTCATGGAGTTAATGATGAGTTCTATTTGTAACTGATATTGATATATCTTCGATACTTTTGAGAAGTTAGCCAAAAAAAAACACCTTTTCTGAGGACAATTCTTTGATCGCTTTCACCGACTCTGTCACCCTCCAATCATAACACTAAGTAGTGATTTAGCATGCTGTCATTGTCTTCGCAAACACTAGTTCTTTTCTTTCTTTTGGTTAGCTTTTTTGTCTGTTTTGTTTTGTTCTGTGTTGTAGAAGTTGAACTCACTGGACGAGAGGAGCGAATTCGGAGAAACTCTGATTCAGTTCTATATCCTAGCCTCAAGGAGGAACTGTCAATGTTAAAGATCAAACGCATCCAAACTGCATTTAATCAGAGAATGGCAGTTATAGAGAAAGAAATTGAAGAAGTTTCCCTGAAGGTCTTTGGAGATCACACTCCTAAGAGGCAGCGAACCATATTCAGGGAAATATCCAACGAGCACGAAGGTAACCATGCAAATATTGCATGAATACACATCACAGCTTACCTGAAAGCTTAAAATTGATCTGAAGTAAATAGAAGAATACGAGTGTAATTCTTTCTTAGAGACCAAAGCACAAGAAAATAGAGGAACTGAGGAAAGACTCGAAGAGCATCGATTGTGGCAACCCAGTAAGGTCGAGCCAATGGATATAGAGAAGCTTGCCTTAGTACAGAAGTATCTAGAAGATGTCCATGAAACTCGTAGTCTGACGACTGAGGCGAGTGACAGTGCTCTGGGTACACAAGCCGCGGTATCTGAAATTGAAACAGAGGAAATTAGCGGTAAGTTTGCTCAAACGCTAGATTGATTTTAGATATATTTGCCCCTTACCCCCTAGAGCAAACGGCAGTTTTTGAAAATTCTTAAATGCAAACTCGGTGTTGATATACAGTATACCTTTTGAAAGTTACGAAGGTACACAATTAAAATAGGTCCGTGATGCTTACATGTGCAGCTTTACGAGCTGTACGGGTCATTCATTGATTTGTTGTTATACTTTTAATGACAGTTTATTGCTGCGTTGGCTTCTACATTTGATTTAAAACATTTGTCGACTTTGTAAGCGGCGATAAAATATGGTGCGAGGCAAAAAAACACATTCGGAATCGGCGGGAACAATTGTTTGAATATCTAGATTAAAACTGTCCCGTCCTTCAGGCGTCAGCGCCAAAAATGCTCATGCGAGTAAAAAAGATAAAGCCCCTTCAAACCACTTTCAGGTGAATCTTTAAAAGCACTGAATTTGTTTACATATAGCGTATGCGCTCGATTGCTGCCAAACGTTAATCGGTGTCAGTGACTTTAATTAATATATTATCTGAATTCTCCAAAACAATTTGTTCCTTTGAGAAACGTCGAACGAAATTTTGAGATCTTCCTTAAGTACACTTCCGCTTATTGTTTGCAAGTCCCTTGAATTTGGACACCATAAATTTCACAACAGTAACCGAAGGGATTCAATGACTGTCACAATAAATCTTCTTTTGAAGTGAACAGTACCTTCTGTAAGATATGAGTGTTTTTATAGATAAGCGTCATTCAACTCGTGTGTGTTTGCCATACCAGTATTGTTGTTCATTTATAAGTGTACATGCGCTTTTCTCTCTCTCCAATTGACAGGTGTCAGATCGTGACAGATACATATTAAATTTTTTTTTTTAAAGTTTGCTAGAAGCCTTTTAAGTTACCTTTACTATTACACAAATGAACATTTTTCGGTGAAGTCTTTCTCTTTAATTTGAATAACCTCTGGTTTCCTTATCATGTGCTCTCGAAAAAATTGTTCAGTGTATGGAGGATCTTTCCACGATTTAGCTCGAATTTGTAGCTCTTAATAATTCGGGTTCTCGTGGCAAGAATTTCTATAAGTGTTGGAAAAAAATGTTATTTACCAGGTCGGTCCCTACTAAGAAAAACTGTAGCCTCTGTCTTGAGTACCGCTTTCGGCCTATGGCCTCGGGCGGTATCCGAGACCTCGGGAACAGTTTCTCCCAATATGAACATTTCGGCTGGTGAGTGACATATTTAACTGATACACGTTTATTAGGAGTTAAATGAATTGGTGTATCTGAAGCTGTCACGAAACATACTTGAGTCACAGTCTAATCAAGTGCAATCAATAAAAAGAACTCTTATTTGCTAGCAATAAAACAAGGAATTCCGAAACAAAATATTTCAAAATGGACTTCATCTTTACATTATACCAGTGGGGGTGCGGCGATCGACAACGCGAGCCCCAAACATACATTGAAGCAGGGGTTAAATTTAGTCAATTTCGGTCAAGAAGAATAATGAAATTGAAGGAAATTAGCTGTTTTTAAGGAACTGAACGTTCACAACAATCTTTGATTACACCTAGTGATGAACTGAATATTCCAGCAACAGCAATTATGAAACTTTGCCACAAGGTAACGAAAAGGAAACAAATGGCCCTCGGAACGAATTGAATTCTCGAATCTTGATAGAAACCAGGACATTCGGCAACCAGTAACAAATGTTGAGACACCTTGAGCAAAGAGTGCCTTTCCCTATTTTATCAGATAGCCAAGAAGTAATTTATTGCAAAAACAAACTTCAACATTGTTCATCGAAGTTAAGTACATGATACTACGTAGCTACCGAAATTGCAAAGGGGGGATGGGGGGATCTACTATGTTGGATCACATGATGAACAATCATCTCTTGTGGTGGTAACATGTCTCAACTCATTTTGCAAATCGTTGTAGATGCTGACTTTGTGAGGCGTTACATTCATCATGTAAGTCACACAAAAACGACATCAACGCTAAAAGAGTTTTTCATTTCGAGCCAACTAAGTAAAAAAAAAAACAAAACAAAGCAAAGAGGAAAATAGTAAGGAAAAATGTTCCGTCCGCCAAATTTTACAAGTACACAGCTTAATGTGATTTACTATTGTTTCAAGAAAAGTTCAGGCAATTTCATAAAATATTCACAAGCTTATAAAACTGTGAATCGAGTGTAACTCTTAGAGGTTAAAGTATATTTTTATTATCGAAAGATTGACCCTACTGATAATGTGTGACACAGAAGGTATTAATAGGAGATTAGTCTAGTGCCTAGGTCTCCCTTTTAGACTGTGTACAAATGGGAGGAAGAGGGGAGTACGAAACGTGTACAGTTATATGAAGGATCCTAAAAAAGGTTCTCCGCGCACACTGTCTCATCTCTTTTGGGCGTTAGCCTTCGAGTGGCTTTAAAGTGTTAAGTTAAGTAGTCTTCCTTTTAAACAAGAAAGTCGATTTGAAAATCTTTTCAAGTGTCGGGGTAACTCAGGCTTTCTGCAACACAGATCATGCAGAAAAGGGTAACTCAGGCTTTCTGCAACACAGATAGTGCAGAAAATATATTCCTTTTTCAGTAGTGCTTACGGGGAAGAAAAGTTGGGCGCGTAACCTAGTTTCTGATTATTTGCGGTACGTGTAATACAAGCTTTTTCACTATTATCTTTAATTGTACTTTTCTGTTTTTTAGAGGCAGATAGACTTTGCTTGAAAGATCTCAGTCGTTTGGTCACAAGTGAACTGAATCGAAGGCTAGAGGCTGATGAAGTTGCGATGCAAAGATTCTCCCGTTTTTTCGGTTTAAAAGGTGATCCATTCTCTTTCTCCTTCCTTCCCATTGAAAAGTACTTTCCTGATACATATGTGGGCGTGCTGAAAGAATGCTTCGAGGTCTTGGGCTTGGCAGATCTCGATGAGATTCTAGCCAAAGTGAAACCACGTGCACTTTGCCCTGCGCTGTCTCCGGAGCAATTGGAAAAATTGCAACTTAGTGATCGTCGCACGAAACACTACAGCAACATGGCAGTTATGGTAGCCAATTTCAGCGAGAATAAAGATACTGCAACAATGATTGAAAAATTTTTTAAAGATCTAAACCCAAAAAATGAAGTACACGATATACAATTTATCAATCTGAAAGTAAAGTATCTAGTGCAGGAGAACATCGGGTGGATGGAGCACGAGCAGGTGTGTCAGATCGCCAGGGAGAAGAAATTGAGACACCGTTTGGAAATCCAGCTGCCTAAATTGAAAAAGAGGATTGAGGGGGAAGGCCAGGAGAAGAGCAAAGTCCCGGAAGAGGGAAGCATTCAGAGAGCAGCTTACTCTCGGCCTTATGGTATTAAAGCGAGGGCGAAAATGACGGCTTCAAAGCTTGAAAGCGAAGAACGTTTCCTTACCGAACAACTTCAGCAGAGTATGCAAGAAATTGAGAAATTTCGAGAAAACATTGAAAGGAAAACTGAGTGGATTAAAGATATTGAAAGGGAGAATAGTAATGCAAGATCAGCCTTGTTAACAGTCATGGACAAATGGATCCAAGGTCAAGGTTGGTAAATTTGTACAAACACAAGGAGGTGACTGAAGGGAAAAATTTTGTTTTCAAGATCTTTCCGCTTACCTCTGCTTTGTTTCTCCTTTAGTGCTTGATTAATCCCTCGCATATGTCCCATTGCAATAGAGAGTTTTCCACCGGTCACTCGGAATATTATTTGTGTGTTGCAACACAACGCGTTCTGGAAGCTGGAAACCTTCGGGAAAAAAACCATACAAAACATTCTTGTGTTCCAATTTTTTCACAAATTAGATTTTTGAAAACGTAATATCTATCAACGAATTTTAATACGTTGTCTTTAAAAAGATGTTTGCAGGTGAAATACATTACCATTACCATAAGAAATAGTAGTAAAAGCTTCTGCGCACATATCAATCTGAGTGGCGGGCGATGGTGGGGGATTCCCAAAACACTGTGACACTTGTCCTCCAGACTCAGTAAAACGTGGTCTTTTCGTGTCGTCAGCGATAACATCTTTAAAGGGTACCAAGGTTCGACTGCGTTCGCAGATTCATCATTTTGGATATTTTTGGTGAAAATTTTAGGCCAATTTCCACGATGTCATTGTGTTTTTTCTTTATTTTGCGCTCGTCTGGTTTACTTCGTTTCTTTTTTTTTTTTATTTTTCTCTGCTTTCCTTTTTTTAGTTTTCTTCTTTTCTAACTAAGTGATACTTTTATTGGTCTTCTATTGCAGGTGGATCCACCTTCATTGCGGTATTTTTAATCGGTACTAACCATGAGGCCAAGTCTATTTTTCAAGGAAGCCTTCATGAATCTATTGAGGAGAAATTGACATCAATTCCAGATCATGGAAAACTCGTGGTGAGCCCTGCTGAATGGGAAAGTATCGGTGAAATTCCCGAAACCCTTCATATAGGATTGCAAATTCCTTACGATTTGCGACTTGTCACGTCTTTCATTGAAATTTTCAAGAAGCGTTGGACTTCGTCGGACCTAATTTCAATGATGAGAGAATTTAAAAGGACTTGGCCGCATAATTTACAATTGAAGGACAATTTGTCTACTCTGCCACGGTTTTAGGAGATAAACATTGTTGTATAGATCATGGTTTACAATCTTTTACTGCTTAATATCAGTATAGACAAAGTTATTGCTTAAACCCCTTATTCTGGGCGTTCAAATGGCAAAAAGGCTGCCCTTCGTATGACAAATTAATCGTTTATACTATTTAGCGGTATTTTATATTGCTTTCCCCTTTTGTTGTATATGGGGAAGGTACGATGGCTTGAGGTAGCATATCTTTCTGAGAAGATTCGTCAGAACATACATAAAAGTAACGCAAACTCAAACTAGCTCCCTCTGCTTTTGGGTCGTAGCCCATGGCTCAGTTCGTGCTACACAACCAGAATGACATGATAAGTGTAGAGAAATGTCAGTAGGAGAGAACATTCGCTGTTGTGCTCTACTAATCTTTTTGTCCTTATGTATTCGTCAGTCTAACGAACCTCACTTTAAGAAGCATAACTTAACTCTGCGTAAATACGTTGCCTACGTCCTTTTTAAATGCATCCTGTCAATGACTCGTCCATCGAACTTCTTCCTCACTGTTTTAGCTCCGCAAATGATGATAGCTAACAAGCAGGGTTTCCTTCAAGAAGGGCAGTGCACTTCAACAATATTTTTTCTACGAGTTTCGTAGCATCCCAATTGCGATATCGCCTTAAAAAGAGATATGCACTAATAAATGGCACAAGAGATAGTTATCGGATAAAACCCGTCTTTGTCAGTTTACAAGGTTAAACTTTTGAACATTTTTGAATAAAACAACTTAATAGATAAGAACAGTATTTTGGAGACGAAAGGGCGACTTAAGTGTTCCGCCTCTTCCGTAAATTACTAGAGTACGCACTTAACCTAGACTAAGGGGAAAAGTTTCTTTTCATTCTACTAATTTATTCGTGTTTTTCTCGTCGCCATGCTCCCACCAATAGCGTAGCTTTCACTTTCTTCATATAAACCCACACACAACCGCAATTCCTCCATTCGCTCTGACGAAGGGCTAACGCTCGAAGCGTCGGCTTTTTAACTCTTCACTGTAGCCAATTTACAATTTCAGCTTAGTGGATATTACCAAATAACTTTAATTAAATTTCCTTCAACTCCTAAATATAAGCATCCATTCTAACTGGGCGTAGAACGATAGGTCAGTGTTTCCGCTTAAAACCAGCTCGAGAACAAAGAGTGCTTGTGCTTAAAACCACCCTAAGCGATGTTTTACCTGGGTGTAAAAACTTGTGAACTAATTCGAAAGTGTGACGCTCAAGCGGAAAATCAAACGAGACTTCGAAAGGTAGTTCAACAATGAATTTTGTTGAAATGATAACTTCAAATCATTGTGACTTAATTTACCAGGAAGGTCTAGCAAACGGGTTAGTCCCAGTGAAAAACATTTGATGGTCGTACAAGCAAACAATTTCCTCTAGAAAAGTGATCCTAATACTATTTACTTGCACTAAAACTAATGAGAAAATATTCATTATCAAGTTAACTTGAACGAAAACTAAGTAAATCATCGTTCACCACAAAGAGATTATGGTGGTTATAATGTTAAAACTTACAATTTCTATTGTTTCCCACCCTTCCCAAAACGCCCCTTTAAACTGGACAACGAATACTAATTGATTGAAGTGTCAAAAAACCTCTCCTCCCCTCTCTTGTTATTAATCCAGTTCCCGGGCTTTGCTCGACTGCTCGCGTGCTAGCCTTGACATTAAGCCTCCTTTGTTTTAAGCGGCTAGAATAGATCATAAACGAGTGAAGCCCACCCTCAAGCAAAAATCCAACTAAAGGTGTTTGTTGTGTCAACGCACGCAATGCAAAACAGTGCGTGACAAAAGTGAGCTACTCTAAGAAGTTCCGTTGGACTAAACAACACGCTCCGATTGACCAGCCTGTCAGAAGCTACCCTACCTTCCCTTGAGCTATGGACACTCATTGAAACTTCAAAACCTCACAGGGGAACCCATTTAGGTATGTCAAGGGCCGTTTAACTTGTTCAGATTAGGTAACCAATCAATAAACTGAATGGATCATCGTTGCACACTACAGATCTGAAGGATTACCATTTCTCATGAAATTGTCGATTCGAATTGAATAAAGGGACACTAGTTTGAATGAGGCAGAACCGTGAATTTGATGATCTACCATAAACTGCATTCTGGCTGGACCTTGATTCATCGTGGAGGCTGCTTATCCCATGATTTTATGCAAGCCATGCCTGAACGGTTAATAGCATGGCATCCTTATGGAACCAGCATATTCATATTATTATTGCAAATAATCAACCTCATTTTATCTCTCTTAAAATTGCTTGCGACGGCTTGTATAGGGCCTGTTTAGCCTTACGGTTAAGATTTATGTGCCTAACAAAACGCCCACCTCTGCCACCTCTCTCGTCGGATTGTTTCGGCTCTTAATTATCGGTGGATCTTCAATAGTACAACTGAACACTCACAGCAAGTGGAAGGCTTTCCTCTCAACTAGGCGATGTACAAGTAAACAATGCTGTCTGTTAGTATCTCATTTCTTTTCTCTACTTACAGCGTTAGAGCACGGTACCAAGAACAATGAGAAATTCAAAGCGGATCGGTGATCGTTGCGAACAATAGTTTTACTTTAGTACCAAGGTAGTAATTCCTGTCGCTTCGGTGAAAGGAACGGAGAAAGGAACGGCGAAAGGAACGTTTGTAATATCGAGGCATCTGCATTCTGCCACTTGATAGACTGGGTCTATCGCCCCCGATTTCGTTTCCAAGCAAATTATCTTGATTCTGATCATGTGTGATTAACGTTCTTAAGATGGATGCTGATGACTTTTTCTGATGGTGTGCAGTCAGTGACGTCTTTCGGAGCCGGATGATAATTCTGAAAGTTCACGCATTGGATACGAAACACAACAAAGAGCGAACATTTTGGCCCAGTTATATAAAGGGCGGATAAAGCTATTTAATGGATAAATCGCTATCTGGCGGATAAGTGATAGCAAAAGTAGAGCGTTGTCTACCGTACAGAGTGTTATCCAGTGGATAGCGTTATCCAACTTTCGAACAATCGGGGCCTAAACAGTTGACTGAAATTCTATTTTCAAGGACTTAAATGGAACAAGTGTCGATAATTTTTCATCACAAATATCTTGATAAATGTCTCTTCAGCTACTTAGACCCTATTCAGCTTAAAAATTGGAATATTAATTTACTTTATTTCATCTATTTATCTCTTAATTAATGATTAATCTTTTTACAAATATTGTACATAGATAAACCCTTTCCTTAATGTTATCTATTTTATTGTTACATAGTCTATTGTTGATGGACCTTCTCTTTGATAGACTTTCATGAAATGTAGATGTAGAACAAATAGGGATATGGAAGAGTAGTTCGCGTGACGACAGTTTTCGTACGTCACGCGAGCGGATGGCGAGTCATGCAACACTACGAGACACAATTCTTCTGCCGTAGTCACAGGGTGCCCACACAAGCGGCATGTCTGGTCATTTTTTCGAAATATAAAGAAATGTATGGGAGAATATTGAAGAGTCGTAATATCGTAAACTTATATCAAGGAAAGTCTATGTTAAAGTGCACATGACCCCTAAATGCTTTTTTCTTTCTTTGTTCTACCAGCCAACAAGTAGAGTTGACCAGATTTGTTTATTCCAAGTTAATAATTAACAAGCACAAAGACTCTATCACTTTAAACTGTTGTTCTGTTCCCTCAAATTTAAAACACAAAATACATCCAATTGAGCTGGTTTTAAGAATCATGGATTTAATTATAAAGCGCTACAAACCTATTGAGCGAAATCGGGTTTCAATCATTAATGTTGCCATGGCAACTAATTCATTCCAAGAAAAGATTAACTCCTTAAAACTTCAACACTTTTCAGTCAAACTGAATTTTGCTCGATAGGTTTGTAGTATGTCATGTTTCAAATAACTGGCAAATTTGGTGTTGTTAGTTGAAATACATCCTGAGAGATTAAAGGGGGCAGCACGATTTTCATGAAAAATCCATATTTGCGGGAAATGGGATTTAAAGAAAAAAGTGTATGGAAATATTGGTCCAAGATGGCTTTTAAACTAAAAACACAGTATGTTGGTAGAAATGTTTCAAAACAAATATGCCCAAAGTTATTTATTGGTCTTCTTAGTATTTTTCCTCTTTTTAGTGCATTCCAAGGTTCTATTTCTTCAAACGCCCCGGCTCCATGTTACACCCTTGGCAGGGATCCTCAGATCTTCATTGCACTATTTAGCCTGTCTCCTGGTAACTCTGTATTTCTTGTGCTGATGTTGCACTCTCTTCTCTGCTTGTTAAATCTCTCTGAATCCCTTCTCCTGGCTTCCATCTTGGCATTATCACTAATAGTGAGCCCAACCTTCTCCATGACAGCATGCTTCGAAGAGGCAGCACCACTGTAATGTAAGGCAGCTGACGAAGCAGCCAGCTGCACTCTCCTTTTGCCATGCCACTTGTGTTTGGGACATTTGTTCCACACCAGGGAGTTGATGGACTCATTAGCATTTTGAGAATAACTAGGTAAGCATCTTGCAAGAATTATTCTTGGAGTGGTATCACTGGAGGGGTGATCACCAGTAGCAAGGAACTCTGTCATGCCACAGGCACACTTGACAAAGACTGAACTGCTTATTCCCATTCTGTTTACAGTGCTCTCTCACACTTCAACTTTACCTTAATGAGAAATTAAAGGAAACAATCTATTAATTTTCTAGTATAAATCTAAATAAATTAGTGGATCATGGATTTGATTTCAAATTTTTCGGCATAATAAGTAGTAACACTATGCAAAAATTTCACCAGGCTTACCTGAGGCACATGGTCCATGAGTATGCATTCAGTTTACAAACTTTCATAGACTTTCCATTGATATCCTTCAGCAATTTCCAGATCATCTGAAATAATTTCATCCGAGGAAGACGTATCAACAGCACAAGCGCCAAGTTTTCGCGAAGAAACCGGGATTGCTGGCGGTGGAATCATTTCGCTGACCGCATCATCTTCACTAACGAACGTGATACTTACAATTCGTTCTCTCGCTGCGCTTGCCGCTGTTTTCGCTTGTTTTTGGACACCCTTTATACTTATTTGAAATACCTTGCTTTAAAAAAGACTGTTATTTCCCCAGCTTCGACATAATTTACCTCGATAATCTATGCTTAGATGAATCCGAAACGGAAGCCCTATTTTTTATTGAATGGTCCGAGAAGAACTGCATGAAAGTCAACTTGACGAAAACATGGGAACTTCTTTTACGAGGAAAGACTTCCAAGACGCCTCCTGAACCACTCGAGATCATAGGAAGGAAAGAAAAACTGAAACTATTGGGTGTTACCTTTGAGCAGGTGCCAGTTAATTGGGACACTCATATTGATTATCTACTTAGTAAGGCCAGCAATAGGTTGTATATTTTGAGAATATGTAAATATTATGGNTATCTAGAGTGCTCTGAAGTTCTTCCAGGCATTGGAGGAACAAAATTTCCTTGGACCTGACCGCTTAAAGATGATGAAAGAAGTTTTGAAAGAGCTCAAAGAGTGGTCTCTTTTAAAGAAAGTTAAAAAGTTTGAGAGTAAAAGGAAGGAGTATAAAGCGCTGATGGAAAAGATACGTTGTGCACTCGACGAACTAAATGATTTGGAACGGCTGATCACGATTTGTAAAGGGAAAATATCTGAGGAAAAAGAAGGAAACATTCAAGATGTTCGGTCGTTATTTACATTGCTAGAAGATGAAGAGATTCTTGGAATAAGCTGTCTAGATATTTTGAAGGAGATTCTGGAAAATACAGAGCAAAACGATTTGCTTCATAAAGTGCAGGAGTTCGAAGATCGAATAAATCGAGAAGAAAGGTTTGAGAGTCAGACAGGTAAGCTTGATTTAAA